CTGGGTTGATATTTCAATATTGTTTATTGTGAGTATCTTTATTGCTTGAATAAATAACCCTAATGGAATGATTGTTTCTCAGCATTGTCTTCTACATCGTTAGGTTTTGAATCTCTTAGGCAATCTCATTTTTCAATATATCAGGAAGTACAACTGATTAGATTAATCACAGCACTTTAGTCCAAGTGATACAATCAGCAACAGCAATAGCATCAAACATAGCTTAGAAAATAACAATTTGTGGTATCCATTAATTTGTCACCTCTAACCTCATGAACTATATTGAAATCATGAACCAGCCCAAAATATGTTTGTAGTAAATAAACCCTTCAATCAGTTGGATAAGGAGGGATAGAGAGATAGAAGAGGGAAATGTTAGAGTTAAGGTTAGAGGACACAGGAAAATAACAAACTTTGTGAAACTGTTGAAGACAAGGGTAAAAGAGAGAATGAAGGAACAAAGACAAGAACAGAACAAACTAATATCATTTGGGAAGCTAGAAGCTGTATTCACCTTCCTATTAAAATAATGACAATTGAGAGAAGAAAAGAAAGATAAAAACTCTGAAATAGAACAGGAACAAAAACAAAAAGGGAGGGAAATGCAAAACAAGGAGGAAGAGAGAGGAAAAATAAGAAAAGAAAAAAGGGTGCCTCCTTTATGGTACATCTCCACTGTCACCATAGACAATGTGGGCAACAGTGTGCAGATCTAAGATGATTAGTCTTAGGAAGCCAGCCATAGTCCATTGGGATTCAGGCTGATTTTTGGCTGCAAGGCCCAAGTTGAACTCTTTGACCTGGAGGTTTCAGCCCTGCAAGGTTTGACTGTATGTTTCAGCTGCCCTTCCCTGAAAGTGAGTCCAGATTCCGATACAAGGTGCTGATCCTATCAACTTACCAACCATGGTGGTCCACTGTGCCTTTATTGTAGAGATTTTTGTCACTTTTCCTGTGGGCTTTGGTTTTCATCCAGGAGCCTCAGCAAGGCCCTCTCTGTGTTGCTCACTTCTGTTCTATCATCTGGAGCTCACAACCATAGCCTTTACGGCACCAGGCACCTCTGTAGTGCTGATCCAGATATCAGTCCTGCCACACAGCATTCTGGAAGCAAGGTCTTCTGTGTGAAGGTGCTGGGATGGGGGTGGTCCTGAACCATCTGAACCATGGTGCCAGGTGCCAGTTGCCAGGCTAGTCTATGTTTTTAACAATTTACTAAAGTACATTCAGCTATTCTATTAAAAAGCTTTGATCCAGCTGTGCTGCTCTTTCCCAAAAAGAATTAAAGTCAGCATACCCCAGAGGTACTTCAACATCCATGTTAATAACAGCACAGTTGGGGCTGGGAATTTAGCTCAGTGGTGTCGCTGCTTGCCTTGAATGCTCAGGGACCCAAGTTTGATCCACAGTATAAATAAATAAACAAATAAGCAAACAAATAAATAACAGCACAGTTCACAGTAGCTAAACTAAGGAAATGGTCTAGATGACCACCAACACATGAATAAAGAAATATAGAATACATGTGCAATTGAATATTCCTCCACAAGGAAGAAAAATGAAATGACATTAAGCAAAATCAGCCATTGTCACAAAGTCAAATATGTTTTCTTTCATAACTGTAACCAAAAGAAAAAAAAATAGGAGGAGATAAAAAGAGAGAGATAATAGCAAAGTAGAAAAAAGACTATTAGAGGATGGGGATTAGGAGAAGGGAGTGAATAAAACCAAAGTATACTATACATCTCTACACATATGCCAAAATGAAACCAATTATTCTGTCTGCTGTATGTTCTAATAGATTTTTTAAAGGAAAAAAATCCTATTTAGGTAATAACATGCATCCCCTCCCACTGGGGACATGTAACCAAGCTAACCCAGATATTAGATAGTATCACAGCCATATCCTGGAGAAAACTCCATAGATTGTGAAATTTTGGGTGCAGCAGGAAACTGGGTGAGATTCCTGGAGAGACCACTCTGACACATAAAAGAGCAAATTGGCTTTAATGCCAGTGACTCTTCAAGTGACTCCTGTCAATCTCAAAGCCCCCAAATAAAAATTTGTTTTCTTTTATGTACTGCTTTTTACATTTACAAGAATTAATTTCATTGGAGTTTCTCCAGGAATATAGCAAGCAGGATTTACACAAAGTGAACCAGGGTAGCAGGGCACAGAGTTCTTTGGCAGGACTTTTTGAGTCCATTATTCTCCTTGGTGACAGATTACAGCAGTAGTCATGGTTACTCAGGTATATTCCACAAAGACCATAGTTATACAGTTAATCCATAGTTGCCCAATTCCATACACAGAGGTTGTTTCTTCTCAAGGGATGACAGGTAGTTATCTGTCACAAATAGCCAAGAATTGTACTCAAAATAATTTACTTAAGTAATGATTGAACAAATAGGAAGTGAAAGCACAATGAGATGTAACTTGCCACTCACTACACCTGGAAAACATTGAAATTCTATATTGTGCTACCAAGTTTTATTTAAGTAAAATAATAGGAAGACCCATACTCTGGGACATGAGGTTTAAATTAGTATAGTTTTTTTTTAATTAACATTCTGTTTTTAGAGAAGCCTTACATTCATTGAGAAATGAGACAAGAAGTGTCCATATAGGTGTCCAGCTTCCCACCATTTCTGCTAAGAACATCCTAGATTAGTGGAGTGAATTTGATACAGTTGAGCAAATATTGGTATATTTTCATTAACTACAGTCCATGGTTTTCATTAGAAGTAACTTTGTGTTATATACGCATTTTATTGTTCTTCTGCTTGAATAATTTTAACAAATACATAATGTCAGACATCCATTATTACAGCATCATATAGAATAATTTTCTCTTCTAAACATCCCCTTTGCTCTACCTATTCTTCCTTTCCCTTCATCTATGCCAAACTCTTAGGAACCTACTGATCTATCATTTTGTACTGTTCAATGATGTGATATAAATGAAATCATAGTGTGTGTAGACCTTTCAGGGTGGCTTCTTAGCATAACTATGTTGAAGGCAAGTTTGTCAGGGAGAGTTAAAGTAGAATATATATGCGTTATGATCCAATAATTCCTCTGGTTATAAGGTTTGAAATTGCTCTTTATTTACATAATGGATGTATTTGTAAGTGCTAGAATGTTTGCAGCAGCATTGCTCATTATGGCAAAATGCTGAAAGGAAAAGAAAGATAAAGAAAGTTGGAGAGAGAACAAAAAAAGAAAGGAGGAAGGAAAGGAAGAAAGGGAGGGAGGAAGAAAGAGAGAAGAAAAGGAAATGGTCTTTGAAAATACAGCATATAAAGGTGGTATAGTCTCCCAGGAGAATATAAAAATATATGTGGATTTCACAAGAACAATAGTAGACACCAAGAACAAAATATAGCAAACTAAATATAAGTCTACATTCATTTGTGTATGGTTCTGTTACACAAATTGAAAAATCAATGAAGTAGTGTTTAAAAATTCAACAAAAAGTGGGGGAATGTTAAAAATAGTCATAACCCCAAGTAACTTTAAAGAATCAACACTTACAAAGTATAAAGTAGCTTCAACAATTTTGTTATTATTTAGAACTGGAGACTTTTTAATAAGTATTTCTTTTAATATTATACTTTAAACTGGAACTCATTTCTCATATGTGAGCACATACACATTTAAAGCTACACTAAAATATCTACATATTTTTAATATGTTATATAAATCATTTTGTGTGTTTTGGCACTATTTTATAAAACATTAATAGTTTTTAAAAGTAATGAATATGTTACAGTAATCAGCAGCTACAGTAATCAACTCATAACAATAAAGTTAAATACCTTTTCTTGAACCCAAGCAATTGCTCACACATCAAAGAAAAACACTGTGCTATACCAGATAGAAACATAGCATACCACATTTATATAGTGAGTCAGGAAAGTAGCCTTTTCATCATTTCAAAATAAACATAGTTGCATTAATTCTACTGAAATCCTGCTAGAACTCATGTATCAGGGCTATTATACAGCCTACACCCAGAGAAGCTCAACACCGTTATCAGAACAAACTGACCATCCATAATCTTTACACCAACTAGGTGGCCACAAAAAATTACCACACTCACTGTTATGCCTAATACTTAGATGAATTTTCTAGGACCTCTAAAGCTCCAATCAATTTCTGTTCAAAATTTAGGACATACATCTCATTTCTGGAGCTATCTTTTCCAGAAAAAACATCTCATTACAGTTTGTGAAACACTTCAAGAACATAAAAAAAATAGTTGTGTTCCTAGCTGCTATCATGTTATACAATGGAAATATTTTTGGAAGATGGATAGAAAATTTAAAACCACTGGATAGAGGAAGAGAGGAAAGGGATAGGGGAAATGTTGGTCAATAGGTATGAAGTTACAGTTAGGAAAAATAAATTCTGGTGCTTTATTGACTATAAATAATGATAAAGTACTAAATATTTCTAAAAATCTAGAAAAGAAAGATTTCTGATTTTTTTCACACAAATAAGCAATAAATGTCTGAGAAAATGGATGTGCTGTTCCACACTTGACATGGTAGTAGTAGTAGCAAAAAAAAGAAGATTTAAAAAGAAAAACCAAATTTCCAACTAAAGTTACTAACAAAAATAAAGTTGAAGTCTATTATGAAATTAAAAATAAAATCATGAACGTGGCATGTAATTCTTTTATTGTATTAGTAATGGAAAAAAAGATTTGCTAAAATAAAGATGGAAAAAGTCTTCAATAAAAAAGTATCAGAGTGAAAGCTAGAGAATATTAACATATTTGTTGAAAAAGACACTGTAAAAAGGAAAATGTACAGGAATATTTATAAAAATGTTTCCATAAAACAAGGTCAAATGGACAATTAAGCAGACTTAAAAGCGACATCCAGGGTAGAAAATATTGTGCCAGTTGAGAGTCACTAGGAAACAGGAATGTTTCAGGAAAGGATGTATGCATGTGATTGACATGGTCTCACATCCATTAAAAGAAAGAGGCCAATCATGCTGAAAATATTCCTCTGCTGAGTAGATTTTTAAGAGCTCTTTTCATATCCTGATTCCTGAGACTGTAGATAAAGGGATTTACCATGGGAGTGACCACACTGTACAACACACTTATAATGATATCTTTCTGATTAGAGTTACTGGAAGAAGGTAATAAGTAGATCCCAATAATTCCTCCATAGTACAGAGAAACCACACAAAGGTGAGAGCCGCATGTGGATAAAGCTTTTCTGATTCCCCTGATTGAGGAAGTTCTAAGAATAGTGGCCCCAATGCGGCCATAAGACACCAGAATGCATAGGAAAGGCAGAATTATGATGACGGTTCCCACAATAAGGATGACCACCTGATTGATGGTGGTGTCTGAACTGGACAGCTTGAGTAAGGCAGAGAGATCACAGAAAAAGTGATGGAGAGTGTTGGCTCCAGCAAAAGAGAGAAAGGATAAGAGTACGGTGTGCAAAAGGGCATTGGCAATGGATAGCACCCAGGAGACAGTTACTAGCAGAAAGCAGAGTCTCTGGCTCATGATGGTGAAGTAATGCAGGGGGTGACAGATAGCCACATACCTATCATAGGCCATTGAGGTGAGAAGAAAGCTGTCAATATCTGCAAACAATGCGAAAAAATATGATTGGGAGATGCACCCAGCATAAGAGATGGATTGGCTCTGTGTCAGCATGTTCGTGAGCATCTTTGGAATTGTGACTGATGAGAAAGAGATGTCAGCGAGAGCCAAGTGGCTGAGGAAGAAGTACATGGGGGTGTGGAGGCGGGAGTCCAGCCTGATGAGCAGGATGATGAGCAGGTTCCCCAGCACTGTGGTCAGGTACAGGACCAGGAACAGGGCATAGTACATACCTTGATCTTCCAGCTGAATAGGCAGCCCTAAGAGGAGGAATTCAGACACTCTGCTCTGATTATCCTTGTTCATACTCTTCTTTCTCTTTTTTTTTTTCTTTCTGGACATGAAAAGGAAGGTGCAAATGTGAAAGAATGAGAAGCCATTGTGACTCTACCATATGAAAACCCTGGTTAGGAAATGATCAGTATTTGCATTTTAACTCAAACTGAGCACACTAATGGGCTAGTGCGGGCAAAGGAGGGTGTGTGCCTAGAAAACAAATATCTTTTGACCAAGACATGAAAACTATCACAACGGTTATGAGATCACTCCAAATTCTGCTTCCTTCCAGACGATTATTTTTTCCACTCAAGATTTTCTTTCTTCTCTCATTTTTCTAAGGGAGTATTCATGAATTGTGAATAAAATATATTTTCTCAGTTATCACACTGGGTATTCCTAAAACTAAACTAAATTCCTATAAAACCAGGAAATTCTTCGCTCTTGTAGTCATATACTCATCTTGTAGAAGAATTTTCTTATCTGTCTGGAATAAACAAATTACATCATCCTATGTTTATGATTCCTAACACAAATTTTATGAGAAAGATTTTAACTAGCATATTTTTGTCATATTTCTAACATGTCCTGTACATCACTAATGGTATCATTTTTTCTTCATGATATTTAATCTTAAATGTACCCATATGACATACAAAGTAAAAGATAACTGAAGTATAGTTGGTGGCAGCAGAGATTAAAAAAATTATAGATTTGCGAAACAATAAACAAGACCTAGTGAGAAGTTGAAGAAAAGCAAAGAAATACATGATTTTTGCCTGTCAGGAATTACCTGCCATACTAGATTAAAAGAAATTGTTTTTCACAGAAATTTTGTTTGCCCTATAATCTCAAAGTAAGATATTCAATTCAAAATAAATTAGTCTAGTGGAGCTCTTTGCCATACTATTGTGTAAGGTCCAGGATTAGCACAGACTGGATGTGCAACATACAAACCCAAAGAATATATAAAGTCACAATACTTAGTATAAATCCTACTTCTGCTCTGACATGCCCCCTTAAATGATCAGTACAGATACCTTTGCCTATAAGGCATGGACAGATTCATCCATTTTTCTGTAGAAGATGCAGAATACAATGACAGCAGGCAGAGCCTCCAAAAAGCTCAGAGTTCTAGTGTGAAGGGCACACAAAAGTTATCAGTTCAGAACAAAATTGATAGATATACAAATACATATTTGATCACAGCTCCTAAAAATTGCTGTGAATCTAAGTTTTAAAAAATCATGTCAAGGACCTTGGGGAAAATCCTCAACACAAGGTCCAAATTGCAGACAAACAGATAAAATTGTTTCACTGTATTTGACTCCCTTGGGGAAGAACTACTCACTGAAGCAGGCATAAGAGACTTCACTCATGGAGGATTAAGGGTAATAGCCAAACGGCAATTATTACCAACTTGTTGGTTCACAAAATCCCTTACCTTCCCAGTTACCATGGGGAAAATATTATTCAGCTTTCATAATAAATGATGCTGGAAATTAACTCTGATAATAAAAAAATCTTTTTGTTATTTCAAGTCCCATGTTATTCAAGAACACCAAAGCCACTGTAATATCTTCACTTTGAGAATGTGAGGGAACTTACAACTCATCATCATCACTGGACCTGGGCCATGGAGTAGTTTCTGTAAACCTCTTCTCCCAATACTATGGTGTCAGCATTCTACTTTTGCAAGATTCTCACAATATCATAAAGTAAACATTCAATGTCTGTTTTCCATTCAACTTCTTATGAAATTGATCCCAAACTCATTCCATACATTACCAGCCCCATTTCTTCAATGCCTGATGGAAAATAAATGCCATATCTCATCATTCAAATGAGGATGTGTGAATATTTACAAGTGTTGTTCATTGATTCTGTTCATATTAAATTCACCTGTACTTGTATGTAGAAATCATAGGAGATGCTTGGCCTTTAGAAATTTTTCTTGTAGATTAGACTTGATCATCAGTTTCTATGATAATAATGTTATTATTGACCTGCTTGTTTTTATAGAAGTAAAGTGTTGATAGAACTTTCCTCCCCTTCCAAGTCAAAAGAATATCATTGACACTCTTCTTTTCCTGTACATCTCTGAGACAGGAAAAAATGTCAAAAACTCTGCAAGTTTTCTCATTTGATTAAGGTATAAGAGAAGCAATATCTCCTTGAATTAATAAATGATATGTTTACTTCCTCATGAGCAGATGACATTTTTTTTTACTTTGGCTCTGCCAAAGAAGTTTTTCTGTCTTCTAGCAAAACAGATATTATCTTCTCCTTTTTGTGATTTCAAATAAATGTTTAATGCCATGGATTCTTACCTAGTATATTTTTTGTCATATTTCTATCATTTTCTACATATCATAATCCTATCTTCCTTCTATTTTTCTCTTTCAGGTTGTTTAGTCTTAGACATAACCATGTGAATAATTAAAAAAGAACATTATTATCCGTCTACTAAAAAATAGAATTCTCAATCTCTGTGAAGAATTATGTAGACTGAAGCTCTTTGAGAGCTGAGTGCTGCCTATCTGCCCAGTCACTCATTTTGTGAGTGAAAGTTTGCATTAATGTACCCTTTATCCTAACTTCCCTGAAATTATCTGAAAATCCCTACATTCTTTAGCCATGTTAAAAATCCTGATCTGTGATATTGTAACATGAGATGAATTATACATTCAGTTATGATATTCATTACCATGTTAGTAAGAATGTTTCTCAATGGATATGATAATTGACTACCTCCTTAACATGTAGATGGTTTTTAATTGTAGTATTGCTATTTCCAGCAATGTTGCAATAAACAACATTTTTCTTCTATCTCTTTGAACAAAAGTATATATGTCTGAAGGGTTGAATACTAGAAACAAAATGGAAGGGACTATACATTCATGGATTTGATAGATTATCCAATTACAAGAGGCTAAATTGGCAAGGAAGCTCATTTGTATTATTCTTTAAGAGGAGTCATGCTTATAAGAGCATGTTCTATGAAGATTATAAAAATGGATATTCTAGTGTACTGTTTGGAGAGGACAGAGCTAGTGCATTTGAGTAACAGAAATAACTCAAGACTATAATCAGCTGGAAAATATGTGGGTTGGTGAATTATCAGGAACTCAGAGCAATAACATCTCAGATGTAATAGAATATTTTCACCTATTCTAGAACAGTAATGCACATAAGAAATGGTTTAAGTAAAAAAACTGAATAAAGTTCTAAATCACTTACTGTTAATTATAGCCAGGTAAAAATATCAGCAGGAATTTGAATAGAAGACTATAGTAGTATTAGGTACACATTAATAGATTACTGCACTTACATCTTGTCATTGGACATGAAGAAATACAGATTTGGTATAAATTTTGGACAGAAAAACTAAAACTTCATGAGAGTCTAAAGATATGGTGGTATGTTTCTTCACCTGTCAGAAATTACCTACAGAACCACTTGAAAGAAATTATTTTTCATAGGAATTTCTTTTGCCTTGTAATCTCAAAATATGGATACTTAGTTCAAAACAAATTACTTTAATGGTGTTTACCATATGATGGTGTAAGAATAGATTCTAGGGTTCTGTAGCACACACTTGGCATACAAAATACAAATGTGTGTGTGTGTGTGTGTGTGTGTGTATTCTTAATGTATATCCTACTCATGCTCTGACAAGGCCCCTTAGATGATCAGCACAGGTAACTTCAGCTATAAGGTGTAGGCAGGACCTTCCTTTCTCTCTAGAAGACACAGAATATAGAAAAATAGATGAAGCCTCTAAAAGGCTCAAAGTTTTACTGCAAAGAGAAGTTTTCAGTTCAAAACCAAATAACATAGATATATGGATATGCATTTGCTCACACTTTCTGAAATATTGGTGTGAGTTCTAATTTTACAAATCATGTACAAGACCTTGGAAAAATTCCCCCAAACAAGGCCCAAATTAGAGACAAACAGGTAAAATTGCTTCATGGAGTTTGACTCCCTTTGGGAATAACTACTCACTGAAGCAGGCATAAGAGAGTTCACCCTTGTAGGAACAAGGGTAATCACCAAAAGGCAGTTATTACCAACTTGTTGGTTCACAAAATCTCTTGCCTTCGCAATTTACTTTGTGGAATGTGACTCAAAGTTTGTTAAACAAATGTTGGAAGTTAAGTTTCATAACAAAAATCTCTTGCTATTTTAAGTCCTGTTCTAGGGCCAGAGATTTAGCTCAGTGGTTCTGCTGCCTGCTTCACAAGGGCAAGGTCCTGAGTTCAATCCCCAGTACAAAAACAAAAAAAATCAAGTCCTATACTATTTTGAGAACACCAAAAACAGTCTAATATCTTCACCCTTTAAACATGAGGGAACTTATGTCCAATTATCACCAATGGACCTGGGAGAGGGAATGTAGTCCCCATAGATCTCAGTCTCTCCCCAAACATTTGGGTGTCAGAATCCTGTCTGTAAAATTCTCACAATACCACAAAATAAGCATATTCTATTTTTCCTTTTCACTAAACCTCTTATAAAATTAATTCCAAAGCCATTCCATGCATTTCCAGCCCTCTTTCTTCAGTGCCTGGTATAAAATGAATAAAATGTGCTCATTACTCAAAGTGAAGATGTGTGGCTATTTAGAAGTGCTGTTAAATGGTTCTATATATTTTAAATTCACTTGTTCTTGGAAAAGCTATTTGCATGTAGAAATTATTGGCCATGGATTTAGCTCAGTGGTTCGGCCACCTGCTCACAAGAGCAAGGTCTTGAGTTCGATCCCTGGTATAATAAAAAAAAAGATTATAGGCAATATTTAGACTGCACTAATGTCTCTTGTAGATTGTGGCTGATCATCAATTTCCCTGATGATAACACCACTATTGACCTGCATGTTTTCATAGAATTCAAGGGCTGACAAAACTTTTCTCCTTCCCAAATCAGAAGGACACCATTGGCACTTTTCTCTTTCTGTATATACATTGTGAGAGATGATATGTCGAAGATTCTGCAAGATTTTTTTATTTGATTCCACAGTATGAGAAATATCTCTTTGAATTAATAAATATTTCCTCAAGAACAGATAGCATTTCCTAGAAGATCTTCATCTATATGCTTTTTCTTTACATTTTTTCCCTTTCCTAATAAGTCTTACTCAAAAAGTACTCCTGCAATAGCTTACAATGAATAATAAAAATCACACACATATGCAGATGCAAAGAAATTGAAAAACAAGCAAATAAAATTAATGAGGAT